AACCCTTATTGTACTTGAGCGATTTTGAGAGAGAAGAAGCCATTATTGGACCTTTGTGGGGTTGTTTTGCAAGAAGGAGTTGATTCCAGCTTAGAGGAGGCCATGGAGGTTGCATATTCGTGGATTTCAAACAGTGGGCACCATCTTTGAGGTAGCATATCGACCCTCTTTCTGTTTTGTTAAAGCATCCATGGATCTAGGATGTCCTATGCCCTTTATTGGGTTGATTTGTTGAGAATAAGGTCCCTTATCATGTTTAGACTCCAAATTTGGACTCATAGTGGTCCAGAGGAGATTATCCATCTTACTTTATGTTGGGTTATGGAAGAAATGAACTTAGAGTGTTGTATTTGGGGCTAAATCATCAAGTAGTGTCATTTGGACGTTGCATGAGTATCAAATTTGAACCTTTACGTGTTTATTGAGCGTGGGGAGGTTAGATCTATGGATTAGAGGAGCAGATCTGACCTCAGAAGGTCACCTGATTTTGAGCATGGCTTGAACTCGCCGAGTCCAAGAACAGACTCGGCAAGTAGGATGGGTTTTCCCCATAAATCACACAGATGGTAACTCGCTGAGTTGGGGAAGTGACTCAGCGAGTCATTTGGGATTTTGAGGACGGAAGTTCATGACTGAACTCACCGAGTCACAATAGTTCACTCGGCAAGTTTGTTCAAAGGGTTGACCGTTGACTTTCGTTGACTTTTAGGGTTTGGTCAACTTTAGAGTATTTGAGCCTTAAGAGGGGTAAAATGGTCTTTTATCCTCCTGAGAGTGCTAAGAAAGGAAATGGTCTAGCCTTGGGAAATGTGTTGATGACTTGTGTTTATTTTTGTATGATTAGGCGGAGGCTAGATCCTATTTCATGGAGTCCAAGATTTCCGAGTTACCGAGTTACATGAGGTGAGTCTTCTCACTATACGTTACCTAGAGTGGTATTATGAATTGACCGGAAGGTCTTATGTGCTATGTATGAGATTGTGTGCCATGTATGAGATTATGTGCTATGTGATGTATGTATGATATATAATTGTATAGACCGAACTAGAGGGTCCAACGATTCGGACCGGGCCGGAGGGCCCAACGAGCTTTGACCGGACCAGAGGGTCCAACGAGCTACGGGACCGGAGGGTCCCGTTGAGACACATAGATCAGAGGGTCATATAGTAGCCTCGAGTGGCGTATGTGTTATATGTGGTATTTTGGGGGACTCACTAAGCATTTATGCTTACAGTTGTTGTATTATGTGTTTCAGGTACTAGCGAGGACCATGGGAAGGTGCCGACGTGACCCGTACACACAGATAAGGGATTTGATTTTGTGATCTTGGGATATGTTATGATTTGATAACTATTGTTGAAAACTTTTGCGAATATTTTTATATAAATTTGGTTGTTGAAAAATGAAAAAAATTTGTTTTGAAAATCTAGTCGTTACATCAGGAGTGACCATTATCGGGTACAGAGTTGCCAATTCATTAAATCGGGAGGTGTAGGTGGTAATTTAGAACCCTTAATGGAGTGTTCCCACAATACATGTTCAGACTTTTGTATCTCGCTCCCTGGATAGTATTCCTCAAGCATCACGGTCTTCAAGTCCTCCTAACTCATGGAGTTGGCAACCGCATGTGACATAATTGACCTAGAACTCATCTAAATAGGCGCAAATTTCAAAGATGGAATCAGTTTTCTTGAACCATCTCATCAGAGTAACAACTCCGTCGTCACCATGGTATGTCCTTGGTTTACAATTCATGAATTCTTTGTATGAGCACATCCATGGGTGCCCTTGGTTTTCTGCTTGATTGGAACTATCAGTCCCGTTTCCACCTCCGTCGCTATTAATGCTAATTTAGGCCACAACAACAGCCACAACAGCTTTTACGGCTGCTTGGAACACAACAAAATCCATTTGTGGAGGTGGTGGCAGTGGTGGAGTTGTTGGTGTTTTGTTCTTGTGCCTGTTTGACTTCCTTGGTTGCATACTTCTGCTATAAAATATCAAGGTGGAATGACGATGAGTTTTTGAGAATAGTTAAGAATCAAGAATTAGTGTAAATGAATGCCTTGTTTTCTATAAGTATCATGTCTAGTTGCTCTTGAAATATGAAAGCAATTCACAACGATATTTATCATTCTAACAAACACTACAAGAAAACAACCCTTTAATGACGCGCAAACAATGACACTCACTAATAGACGATGCGCATTTGTAAGTGCCCTAAAAGATAATGTCACTTTTGCAAAATTTGAAGGATAGAGGGCACGCATTTATGCGCGCCCAAAAATTAGTGTCAGAAAAGAAAAAAAAGAAATGCGGAGGGCGCCTTTCATAAAATGTGCGTCATGTAAATGTGTCACTTTATAATTTTTAAGTGAAACACGCGTTTTAGGCGGGAAATGAAATCGACGAAAATTACCCCCCCGCCTATTGAATCCCAAAAAGTTAATCCCCCGCCTCTTCTACTTAGCAAGAAAAAGCCCTAGATCCCTCATCTTCATCTTCAGTGTCATCAAACATCTCTCTCTCTCTTGGAATCAGATTCTTGAAAGATCAAAACCCTAATTGTAGCCCTAACTACGACATGTCTTACCAACTGTTATCTTCAAATCGCATCATAAATGACGACCACCACGACAACAGTCGGCTATACAACCCTTACCAAGATCTTAGAGTCCCTGTACAAACTTCCCACATCTCCTGAATACCTCTATCAAGAGGAATCCATCGCTCAACGACGTTCATGGGGCGAACACCTGATATACTACACTGGCATCGGTTACCTCAGCAGCGTAGTAGTTGGCGCTGGGAAGGGTTTAGTAGAGGGCGTGAAGGCTTCTGAGGCTAGAGACACCATGAAACTTAGGGTTAATCGGAATGAAATTCATGGTGGCTGGATTAGCGACTAGAGCATATTGGCTGGATTAGCGACCAGAGTGCTTTACAAGGTGGCGGCGGGCCCTAGGTCGGCGGCTGGTTCCGAAGCTATTGGTGGAATAGTGGTGGGATTAGCATAACGGGGAAGCATATTTTGAAGAGATACGTACCAATCCGAGCTCGATCTGTATTCAATTTCATCTTACTACAAGTTTTGGACTTTTGAGATTTCCAAGTGTGGTGGCTGTGAATACTCCATCGTCAAATAGTTTGCATAAACACGACGTAATAGAAGAAGGGAGGAAGTGCTAGAATTTCCCAAAAATGAAACAAATTTGGGTGTTGTGGAGGAGCCACCGGTGGTGGCAAGTGAAGTTGAAGCATCTATGGATAATAGTGAACTGAAAGTTGAGCCAGTGATGAAGGAGGCCAACGGTTGGACATTAAATGTTAAAATTAAAGTGGAAAAGGATCCAACTCTCAGTGCAACAGCGGGATTGAAGACGAACATAAGCTCTTATTTGAATGCTGAGATCGTTCCTGGTGTATATTCTGATGAAAAACCACCATTTGTGGTGGAACTTGATGGATCTCTTCCTTTCTACATGCTCGATGCATATGAAGAGTTTTTTGGTTCTAATGCTGGCAATATCATTCTATTTTGGAAGGTATTTTAGCTATATCAGTTACATCTCAGTTGACCCTGTACATATGTATTATAACGCTTGAGTAATTATATAAGCCTCACTATTTTATCATTCTTACCAAGATAAAGATTGATCTTGATCTTTAATAACTTTCATTTGAATCAAGGTCAAAGTAGGAAGTACTTATCACAGTTGTTGTGTGGTGGTGAAGAATATGCAAAGATTCATGTATGCTATCCCAAATGGCCCTGTATTTGAAGACTCTGTTATTATGAAGCTTTTCACACCAAGCTTCATGTAATACACCTCTTGCCTTTGCTCCCCTTTTCTTCTTTAAATTTACAAACATCATATTGCTTATATTATTATTTACTATCTATTTATGCTTTTTATTTTATTTAATCAGGAGATGGCATTTGAAAATGATTTGGTGAATAATTAGAATCAAATATTCATTTCTTGGATATTTATAAGTTATAACCCCTAAACAACTAAACCTATACAATAAAACTTTATTTCAAATAATCCGATAATCATTTCCAAATCCCACATCTCGAGTTTATAAAAACTTTATTTGACATAATCTGATATTTATAAGTTATAACCCCTAAACAACTAAACTTCTACAAACTAATTCTTTTCTTTATTTGTTTGATTGCATGACTTGCAGATAAGATTCATGGTAAAATGGGAGAAGGTGAGTACAATTTATGAACAAATTACATCTAATTGTTTGTAATATATCATTATATATATATATATATATATATATATATATATATATATATATATATATATATTGACTAATCTGATTGATTCTTGTATCATTCAGGTACACAAAACATACTTCTCGTGTCTCCGGAGTATGTGAAAGTGCCTGATTACAAGGTATGATTACAAGTCATGTCAAACACTTTCTTAGGTGTTTTATTTAATAGGATGGACACAATTCCCACTTTTAAAACTCCCAATCTCGGCACCAACACACAACCATAACCATTGTAGTTCTGCCTTCCCTCAATCCTAGCCTCTGGCATCTTTATAAATTTAAAAAATTACAATCCAATTTGTGATGGTATGGAAGATTACAAAAATAGAGAACAAATATGGAAAACTGAAGACTTTACATCTGTATCAGAAAGATTAGAGAGAACCATTAATTCCCGACTTTTTACATATTTGCCCCCATTGATTGTTTGGTTTGAATGATGTACATAAGAGAGCAGAAGAGAGATTGTTATGAACTAGATTCTAAGACCAGATTCAATAACATAAAACATCAAAAGATTCTAATATGGATTGACAAACCGCTATAATACCAAATGATTACAAGGTTGAAGATAGGATAGCTGATTCGAGATAGCCAATCTCCCGAGGAATAAATTCCAGATTTCACAAAAAGATTGATTGATCACTCCCTGCCCACTACCCTCTACTTATACTATCTGACATAACAAACTAAATAATATAAAATACCTAAACTGTCCCTAATGTCCTTTTATTTGTTGAATTTCCCATATTGCCCTTATCTATCATATATTGCAAAAGTTGATGCATAACAATACCCCAGCCCAAAAGAACCACCTTGTCCTCAAGGTGGATAGAAATTGTGTATAGCATCCAAACGCTCCTTGGTGACCTCTTTGTCTTGCCCTTTGCCTTGCCATAAATCTTGAATGGTGTTCCCGGGATCTCAAAATGCAACACGAATTCTCTAAATTTTTCTGTTAATTCATCCCTTGATCTGGTATCTTCGAACTTGTAGCTTACACCAATGAGTTTATTCAAAACAAAACTTACCTCAAAGGCACCAATCCATTCTGGTAACCCATTAAATGAAGCATTTCTATCTTCTATATCCACCAGTGATGCTTGTATTTCCCGGCTGGTTGTGAGCTTTTCTTTGAGTTTTGCTATTTTAAGATTCAATGGTAACAGGAGAAACTTTTCATGCGGGGTAAACTGATCATCAAATTTTGTTCCAATCTGACCATCAATTCCCTTCTGCTTGTTTCCAACAATTGCTAATATCACCAAATCAAAATGATCACAAGGATGAACTGTGGTTGTATAACCCATTCTCATCATGTTAGCACTAGTCACAATTGCTGGAGTGGTCCATTTAGCTATCTTGTTAACATTATTATTTATCTCTGTGAATATTGCACCCCTTTGAGTGTTCATCTTCCTTGTTAACAGGTTTAGAAATTCTGGGAAATCGATGGTTCCATTACCTTCTACTTCTAATTCGTTGATCATATCCTGAAGTTCAACTTCAGTTCTATTTTGCCCAAGCAATTTCATAATTGTTCCACGTTCCTTTGTTGTGATGCAACTGTAGCCATCCTTATCGATTAAGTTGAAGGCTTCCTTCTTGATACCTCCCAACTTGTAGGTGGTTGTAGACTTGCTGGAGTCGACATGTCCAATAATGTCAATGCTAGTGTGAATATTTTCCTTGCTCCTCTTTAATGAAGTATCTGTAGACAAGCTTTCTCGATAAAATGAGGAAGATGAAGAATTGCACGGCGGTAAGGGTGAGGCACTGATACGATTGGGCGATATTGATGCCGACTGGGTTACTTTTGTTGTCGTAGATTTAACTTCACATGGGCCATGTTTCTCTTTAACATTCATGGGCCAATCCCCTGGCTGATTCAATTTGCGTGTGTCCACAGATCTAATTATGGCCCACTCATTATTTCCCAGCCAAGTTCTTCGATGACCTAGGTAACACTTGTCCGTTCCATCGGGTCCTTCAATTGCCTCGCTGACACCTGTCAAAAGCCAAGCATCTGTACTTGTCTTTCTTTGCCATGGCTCTGTTCCTCTATCATGATATAGTGTACGGCAAGCTATTGCTTTCTTGGAGCTTTGAAATGCAGCCAAGCTATTGATACTCATAGTGCATGTTGAGTGGTCTGTAAGCATCAACAACAACAGATTTTTCACATTTACTTGAACATGCAAAACCTACCACAACCAACGAGAAATTTCAATTTTGGTCCTTGTGTTCAGCAAAAACTTTCGGTTTTGGTCCAAATCTGAATTTTTTGGTCTTTATTTTCATGTTTCATAAGGAATTTGGTCCTAATTTTGTTAAATCTAACCACTCAGCTAATAATTTATACAAAACCTGAAGAAAACAATATGCCACAGGAACCAGAATCGTAATTTTCAATTTAGTTTATCAATAAACTAATTTTGAAATCACAGCATATTTTATTTTTGACTGTCTTAAAAAGCATAGTTCTTGAGTCATGAAAGTATCATCAAGAATTCAAGCACCACGAGAGGTCTACATAGCAATATTGCATAGACACAGGTTGGACTAATGAGATAGAAATTGCAATTTTTTGTCACTCCCAACCAAAAAGGTAGAACCAGTTGGGAAATTTTCTCTCTCTGTGCAAATGACATGAATGCCCTTCTCATTATCTCATAGAAAATAGACCTAAAGAGCTTGTCCAGTCCCATCCCTTGTAACAAATGCAGACTAGGTGTTTGTTGTGTTTCTCTCTATGTGTGTGTGTGTGTTCTTGTAACAAGGATGTTTGTATGTAAGAAAGCCTTTATTTTCTACTTTGTGGTAATTTGTTTTACTTGTGTGTGCATTATTAGGTCAATGAAATACACACTTATATAATATAGCTTTACCAGATTAAGGGGTTGTTTCTATTTCTTTTGATTGACCGAGCTTAATCTAGACACATGGCTGTTCTTTATTTGACTTAATCTATACAACATGACGTAACAAATTAAACCAAAAAACTTGGTTTAATCTATTCTGATACACACTCTTTACCTATTTGTTTTTCTACTTTTTTGTTTATGTTAAAACCTGGTTTAATCTATTCTGATACACACTCTTTACGTATTTGTTTTTCTACTTTTTTCATCACGTTAAAATTGATGAATATTATTTGTTAGATTGCAAGGGTAAAATGGTGATTGAAATGTTGTATAACATATCTCATTATATGAGTGGTGATTCTTAATCTTGGTTGCAGATGGCGTTCATAGCTGCATTATGTCAGGTGGTTAGTAGGAAGATGAATACAGGCTGCAATATTGTTTTCGATTGAAATTTCAAAGTAGGATCTCTCAGTCTCAGTCTCAGTCTTTGATGAGAGCCACGCCATGGAGATGGATTGAGAAAGATATAGAGGTATGTGTGTACATAATTTCTTCCCATCTCTCATTTCCTTTGTTAAAAGATTTTGTTTATTTCTCTCATATTTTTGGAACCCATCGTATTAACTAATGCCTCTTTAGTAGTAGCAGTAGTAATAGTAGTAGGGGTATAGTTGTCATTGTTGTTGGCCAAACCAAACCAAATTAAAGCCTAAGCCTGAGGTGGGGTGGGGGAATTATGTAAATGCTGCTAGTCGTTTTAGTGTGTAAATGCATGCAGATCAATGTTGTGTTACATTACATGATATCTTTGTTGTTGTAACCTGCTTACAATTGGCTTTCTTGCACATGATGAAATAGTAACAGTTAGGAGAGGGTTTTTATTTTTATTTTTGAAAATTTGATCATCAACAAGAACAAGGTTGTCTTGTAAGTGTTATTTCATCAAATTGCAGAAAATAGCAACGTACTTGAAATATGGAGCTTGAAACTTAAAAAAGCTTACAAGTTTTGATTGGTGGATTCATTCTTTTTAAGGCTTATTTTGCATGAAGTGGTTATCAGGATATATCATACTTGATAAGGTTTGTTCAAAGTTTTATAGAATTAAAGTACACTAAAAAATGTCAATGGCTAACTTTTTGGGATTTTTCAGTTAAAATTGTACAAAAGCATTTCTTATGCTACAGTTGCTGCTCATGCCGATCAGACTAGCAGGAAGAAATTAGCACTTTTCCTGGTTCCTTTTTACTAGGCATTGGGGAAGAAGATACAACCCTAACTAAGGCAACTGAAAGTGGCGATACTGATCTTGTTTATCTTGTTCTCTTTCATATATGGTAGAAGTTATTTATTGTTTTCTTATTTGATTAATTATAAAATAATGGTAAAATTAAGTTCTCAAATTATTCGCTTGTATAGAGACCAGCATTGGAATTATTTGGAATGATACAAGCTAGACCTATTATGCGTGATCTATTCATACGAGACTCAAGATATCATATTTTGGTATGGCTAGAAGCTTTGGAGGAAACGAGACTCAAGCAAAAGTAAACACAAAGAGAGTTGTTGGCACATAGTAAGCTAGATGATGCAGTTGTATATAAATGAGTTCATTTTTTATAACATTTACTCATTTTTGGAATACTTATTTGTATTTGACATATTAGTGAAATGAATTATCTTTGTTATATATGGTATTTTATTTTGTATTATGAGATTTTTATTGTATTATTTAATTTGAAAAGTAGTAAATCTATAAATAATATTTTTTTAAAACATTTAAAATTATGATACGCAAACATGTGTGTCATCTTCATTTATGACATGGCCTTTCTTGACAGGGGCTTTCTTGATACGCATTGTGTGTTATTAACACGCGCATCGTAAGGTTACAACACGCGAATGTGTGTTGTCTTTCTTTATGACAAGGCCTTCCTTGATACGCATTGCATGTCGTAAACGCGCGTCGTAATTGCACGTCGTAAATGAGCGTCGTAAATGCGCGTCGTCACGCGTCGTCTCTCTTTATGACAGGGCCTTCCTTGACGCGCATTTGCACGCCATCTGAGCCTTTTACGACGCGCAATGAGCGTCGTAAAAGGCTATTTTTTCTAGTAGTGAAACAATTGCATAACATAGAGTGACATTTAATGAAACAAAAGACATACCCATTCATTAATAATATGGTGCTAGTACATAGTTTTTGTGAAATTTGACCTTTAATAAGGTCTACAAAAAAGAGTAGTACCAACGCTTACTCATAAATAAAATCAAGACGTGGGTAGGATACGCCCTACTCACGACAGGTAGTCTCTTACGGTCCCTAAGATGAAGTCGAGGCTCCCTGTAACTCTACTATCAGACGCTTAGTTACGATCACTCTCTCCTCGAGATCTGATTGCCTCTCCTGGTACTCTCTCACCTCCGCTCAAGCGGTGGTAAGGTCCCTATAGAGATTGTCAATGAGATGGCATGTCCAAGGGTAGTATCTTTCCAGTAGTCGAGTACGTGCGTCAATTGCCTCAAAATCGGCCCTAAGTTCCACGATCCGGTTCGCCGATGCTCTAGTCTGGTCCCCGAGGCGTGAGATTCACTGAACCATGACATGAAGGGCCGTGTCTGCTAGATCCCCGTGGTGGAGGCTATAGTAACCTCGCTCTATCTCATAAGGAGAATGCTAGCACTGTTTCCGGCTCCACCTCTCCAATTCTTTACCCATCGGGGCTTGGGCCCCTGGTAGCCAATCGGTGTATGGGATCCCTCGCGACGTAAGGAGGGTTAATAACCTCCGACTCTGCATCCGACTCCTCCTTGACTTCCTTTTCCTCAAGGTCCTCCTCACCTTCTTCTTCTTCCGGTTCTTCCTCGAGCTCTTCATCTTCCTCCACTAGCTCCTCAGGATCCTTTTCTGGATCCTCTTCAATCTAACCACCATTTCCCTGGTTAGGGAAATAGGGGTCTCCGGGCATGTGAAATCTTGCCATATTATCTGTGCAAGAATAGAGATATGAGAAATACATGAAAGGTTTATAGTATTCTAAAATACTCTTATAGTATTTTAATTCTTTATGAATGATTCTAGAGTTTCTTGGTATATAGGGTTGGTAAGTTTTAGATTTGTTACCCACCATGACCATTCCTAAAAGCATGTTGGTCATATCTTGCATAAATATAGTTGATCATGCTATATTTATCCCAAACATGACTAAATAATTGTGTCGGCTTAACCGTACTGTTTAACTCCTCTAATTTTTATACATTTCTTTTTCTGACACTATTTCTAGTATGCATGCATGTAAACTTTTAATGGAAATACTGTTATATTTAGAAAGTATACCTATTATTCAAAGTGTTTTAGCCTCATTGTATTTATAGTTGTATATCTTACATGGTTTGATATACTTGATTCACTATAAACAATGCTCTCATACCAATCTGTCACACCCCCAAACCGGAATGACGGAAATGTCCGGGGGTGGATGATGTCATTGTACAATATCATAACAATTAATATAAATGATACAAATCATTACAACCATTTCATTGAATATTTAATAAGTTTACATTGTATTCAAATATTGAATACATGATATCAGATGCATGTGACAAAAATGAATAACGTTATGCGACAACGTCCCATCCTCCAAAAATTCCCATGGTCACCTGTGACATCCCCAATTTTCGGCCATAAAAGACCGATTTGTTTATGCTTTGTTTTTAAAATCAGAGTAATCTTTTAAAGAAAACATTTGCGGAATTTGTTCCCAAAACAAAATATGATAAAAATTATCAAAGCATTTCTTTAAAGAAATGTATTTTCAATATAACAAAATCTCGGGATGTCATGTTCCGATACAGACACATAAGCATAAATAGAACTTAGATTATTTACACTAAAGATTTTACATCTCCTTTAATCTCTCCGTGAAATATATCTTCGTATCGATACCTGTGATACAAAGAAAACTGAGTGGGTCATGCTTGGGAGCCTAGTGAGCATATAGGATTTTCAACCCACAATAATATAGTTATTATATTCAACCATCAAACAATCAACCTAATTACCCATCCCCATTATCTTCTTTATTTCTTAGGATTTTACCCTAAGAATTGAACTACCCGTCATTCATTCATTCCTAAGGATTGACCTAAGGAATTAGCACAAAATCTATTGCTACATAAGGCGCATCTACCAACATCATCCTTTAAGCACCTCTGCCAGGATTACGTCATACAATATGAGGCGCGACTGCCAGGTTTATGACATTCTCTTTTAGGCACATCTGCCGACATTA